GTACCCAGGATCAAGCATACCCAGGATCAAGTGTACCCAGGATCAAGCATACCAAGGATCAAGTGTACCCAGGTTTACCCGAAGGTGTAGGGAGGCAAAAACTAAGTGCATTAGAGAATGGAAGAGGTACAGAAGGCAAAGGACCCAGGAAAATAAGGAGATCAGTCGAAGAGTCAGAAACAAGTATGCACAGATAAGGAGGGAGGCCCAGCGACAGTATGAAAACAACATAGCATCAATAGTCAAGTCTGATCCAAAACTGCTGTATAGCCGCATTAGGAGAAAGACAACAGTCAAAGACCAGGTGATCAGGCTGAGGAAAGAAGGTGGATAACTCACACGAAACTATCAAGGGGTATGTGAGGAGCTCAACAAGAGATTTAAGTATTCACAGGGGGGACAGGAAGGACTCTGGGAAGACAGGACAGAGGGGGACACCAACAGGGAATACACCAAGTGCTGGATGACATAACACAATGAGGAGGAGGTGAAGAAGCTGCTAATGACCTGATACCTTAAAGGCAAGGGGACCGGACATCTCTCCGTGGGTCTTAGAGAGGGGAGCAGAAATGCTGTGTGTCCATTAACCACAATCTTCAAAAAATCCCTTGAAATGGGGAACTACCTGAGGCATGGAAGAAGGCAAATGTAGTTCCCTTTTTAAAAAAGGAGACAGGAAAGAGGACTAAACTACAGACCAGTGTCACTGATGTTATAGTATGCAAAGCCATGGAGAAGATTATCAGGAGAGTGGTGGGCACCTGGAACGGAACAAAAGTATAAACGACAACCAGCACGGATTCATGGAAGGCAAAAACCTGTGTCAAAAACCTTCTGGAGTTCTATGATAAAGTAACAGAAGAGACGAAGAGAGGGGCGGGTTGATCGCATCTTCTTGGATTGCAAGAAGGTCTTCAACACAATTCCTCACAAGAGATCAGTGCAGAAACTAGAGGATCAGGCGTGTATAATGGGAAGGGCACTTCAGTGGATCAGAGAATACCTGCCCGGGAGGGAACAACGAGTCAGGAATCTTTCAAAGACACTGTACACCGTGTACGTCGGCCATACTGGAGTATGCATCACCAGTTTGGAACCCACACCAGGTCAAGCACATTAACCCTTTGACTGTCGCGGCCGTATATATACGTTTACGAGGTACCGTGTTTGACGTATATATACTCATAAATTCTAGCGGCTTCCAATCAGGCAGGAGAAAGCTGGTAGGCCCACATGTGAGGGAATGGGTCTGTGTGGTCAGTGTGCACCATATAAAAAAAATCCTGGATCATGCAGTGCATAATGAGAAAAAAAAAAATCCGACCGTTTTTTTTAATTAAAATGCCGACTTTGTAGTCTATTTTCGTATAGTATTTGTGGTTGTATTCTCGTTTTCTTGGTCTCATTTGATAGAATGGAAACTATATTATAAAAATAGAGGTGATTTTTCTTAATTTTACTATAAAAAGAACCTGGAAATGGAGCACAAATACGGGAAATGTTTGATTTTTGCCGATGTTCAAAAGTAAACAAATGATGCCATTGTCCAATAAATGTCCAACTAGCCATTCTAATATGCAGTCATGAATGGGTTGATGTTATTTATACAATTATTACAATATTGCAGTAGTCTGCATAATAGTAAATCTTCTATTTTTTGTTTGAATAAAAATTCAAAATAGAAAGCAAGAGTAATATCAGAGGGGCCTGGAGACGTGACTGATGAACAAAGAAAATGTTATTTTAGAGCCAGGAATGTCTGTATTGTTCATTCTGGACCTTATTTTGAAATTGTCATATTTTTTAATTTTCATGAAATTGGCCAAATTGCAAATTTCTGACCACGTTATTGGGTAGTTGAAATTGGTAAAATGGGCAGTTTCTTGTACTCAATCGATGGAAAAAATGGAGTTCTGAAGAAATAGCCATGAGTTTGGTCGACTGGAATAATGGAATTAGCCGAAAATAGGGCTCAAAGTGGGCAAAATCGCCGATTTGTAAATATCGCCGAGGTCGCTAACCTCGCAAGAGCGTAATTCCGTCAGTTTTCCATCAAATGTCGTTTTTTTGTGTCTTTACAATTGGAAAAAGATTCTCTATCATTTCATAAGAAAAAAATATTTTTTTTTTTTTTTGAAATTTTGTGACACCAGGAGACACCTCAGGATTGGGGGTTGCGACAGTCAAAGGGTTAAGAAATTAGAGAAAGTGCAAAGGTTTGCGACAAGGTTAGTTCCAGAGCTCAGGGGAATGTCCTATGAAGAAAGGTTGAGGGAAATCGGCATGACGACACTGGAGGACAGGAGGGATAGGGGAGACATGATAACGACATACAAAATGCTGCGTGGAATAGACAAGGTGGACAAAGACAGGATGTTCCAGAGAGGGGACACAGAAACAAGGGGTCACTCTTGGAAGTTGAAGACTCAGATGAGTCACAGAGATGTTAGGAAGCAGTTTTTCAGTCATAGAGTGGTCAGAAAGTGGAACAGTCTGGCAAGCAATGTAGTGGAGGCAGGAACCATACATAGCTTTAAGACAAGGTATGATAAAGCTCATGGAGCAGGGAGAGAGAGGACCTAGTAGGATTCAGTGAAGAGGCAGGGCCAGGAGCTGAGTCTCGACCACTGCAACTACAATTAGGTGAGTACAATTACGTGAGTACCCAGGATCAAGTGTACCCACGATCAAGGCAGTTTACCACCAACTGTGTTGCAGAGTTAATAAGAACAACCTTAAAGAAGTAAGTTAAATTACAGTAGGACATGCCCGTGTTCACAGGGGACATGTTGCAAGGACACACCTGTGTCCACGGAGGACACGTTGCAAGGACACACCTGTGTCCATGGAGGACATGTTGCAAGGACACACCTGTGTCTACGGAGGACATGTTGCAAGGACACACCTGTGTCCATGGAGGACATGTTGCAAGGACACACCTGTGTCCATGGAGGACATGTTGCAAGGACACACCTGTGTCCATGGAGGACATGTTGCAAGGACACACCTGTGTCCACGGAGGACACGTTGCAAGGACACACCTGTGTCCATGGAGGACATGTTGCAAGGACACACCTGTGTCTACGGAGGACACGTTGCAAGGACACACCTGTGTCCATGGCGACACATTGCAAGGACCTGCCAGTGTCTGCACCCTGAAGGTGTGGAGATGTTACAGTCAGAGGTTAATCTTACGTTGGTGTCAACACACTTGTGGAAAGATGGTGACTAAATGAATATTGATGAATTTGTTTTTTTTCTTTGGCTACCTTGTCTTGATGTAATATAACTGTAAAGTTAACATTTTTCAACTTTGATATTGATGTTTTATCACCGATGTTCATGTTTTAACTTAAATTTTGGGATTTTTTTATCTTTGTTTTATGTTTTAACTTGATATTTCAACATGGCTGACAGATGTGTTGTCATGTTAAAAAAAAAATAAAAAAAAATGAACTTTTATTTTATATTGTTTTAGTTGTGGCAAAGAACTTAATCCCAAAAATTTTTCTCCATACATTCCATTACTTTTTCCCAAAAATATCGTAAAAAAATTTGGTCAAAAATCGTACACTGGATAAAGGAAAATTTGACATTATCAAACACTTGCTGGTTTGTCAAAATTCAGACTTTCATTTTTTTCTTTTATTTATCACATAATTCCTGGTGGAACTTTTTCCCCACACACTCCATTACATCTTGAACTTACAGTAAAAATTTGGTCTGAATCGTACGAGGATATAGGAAATATTTCCAACATGGAACGAATTTGGTTGAAAAATTTGAACTTTGATTTTTTACTACTTTATTTATTGTACGATCTTAATCAAACTTTTTTCCCATACACTTCATTATTTTCCAAACCTATGGAAAAAATTTGGTCAAATCGTATGAAGGAAAAAGGGAAAAAATCTCTGTCGCCCTGTTTTTTAACTCGTGGTTTTGTACTTGTATTGAAACCCTTTCCCAGGTAGATCATTGTGTGTATTTTTTCAATCATGTCTATCATGTCATATCTAATGTCTGTCAGCAGGGCTGAGGGTTCTGTTCCAGGATTTCCCACTGAAAATTTTGGACTGATGAACTCAAAAAGTCTCACTTTTTCTTTCTATTTAAGTTTTTTTTATTAAAAATTTTAAAAAAATTTAGAATTTTAATTTTTTTTTAAAAAATAAACTTAAAAATTGAATTTTTTTTCCTCTAATTTATTACCATTTTTTTCCCCTCTACAAAAAAGGGAAATTTTTTCCACAAAAAAAATTTTTTGAGGGTAACTCAAAAAATTTTTTCTTAGTTTACCCTTTAATCACAAAAATGGGTATTTCTTAGGAAAAACTAAAAAAAAATGCGGGTAACTAAAATAAAAGAAACCAAGTGAAAGGGTAACTATTAAAATAAAAAATTCCAAAGAATTTAAATTAAGGAAATAAATTACAAAACAGGATTTTTTTTTTTATTCAAAATGTTTTAAATAAATATAATTGAAAAATACCGGGGCCTTTCAGAAGAATGGTAAAAGTAAAAGCAGGGAGAGCGATAAATCTTGGGGGGAAGGAAGGGGGGAGGGATCGTCCCAAAGGGGGGAAAGAGGGGGTAAAGGGGGTTTTTGGGGGCGAGGGGCTTGGACTTCCAGAAAGAGGGTGAGCGTGTTGATAGGAGTAAATGGGACGAATTTTAACTTGGGACCTGACGATCTGTTGGGGTTGGCAGGGTAATTTAGTGAAGGGGTTCGGGAAAACCCGGTTTTTTTTTCATATAGTCGATTGGTCCCGGAAAGGGAAATACAATGTTACCGCCTGGCAGTTTGGGGGGTATGTTGTGTATCTTTTTTACGAATGCTTCAAAATTTTTTTTCGACACCTCTGCAAAAACTGAAATTTTTGAGTGTGGTGAAGTTTGAATGAGATAAAGATTTTCTTTTTGGGATTTCTTTCTTTTTTTGGGGCACCCGCCCCGGGGGTCCCCCGCCTCGGGGGGGTACCCCCCACGGTGGGAGACGACCGACTTTTGAAAAAAAAATTTTATATATATATTATATATAATTTTGAATGCTCTTGATGAAGGTTTCACTTCAAAATGGAAGGCCTAGAACTATCAATCAACTTTCAAATAGTCATTATTTGCTAGACTCTTCAACTTTAAGTTTGTCAGAGAGAAGTTGTCGTCCTGCATCACTGGTAAAGTAGTTCCTAAGAGCATCGATGGCACGGCGGCGGTGAGAGATGGCATTCTTGATGTTGGGCTCCAGCTCTGCATATGTCTGGTTGTAACCTGTTGATGAAGATATGTTAAACTATCACAACAATTATAACAAACTGTATAACAATAAAATGTCATCATAACAAACAGTCCCTCCAGTTCAATAAATAAAACAATTACATAGAGATGAAGTATGTCTAATAAATTCAAAGAGTTTTCCTCACATTTATATTAATACAGCGCTGTATGACCCTGGTGGGTTTAGCAATTTTTGAGTATAGTATGAAATGTAACTTTAAAACTCTTGAAATTTTGGAAAGTTTCCAAACATAATGGAGACGCAGAGCTCACGGAGAATTAAAACAGTGGAGCGCAGTGACTGTATTAGCAAGTCAGGAGCCGTATAAACAAATTTTTGGTCATAATCTGAAATGTCCATATTAGTGAACTATCTTAGAGTGAAGCGCTGTAAAGTGGAGCCCTACTGTATGTACATACAGTGGTCCCTCGTTTTTCGTAATTAATCCGTTCCTGGAGCCGTTACTATAAACGAAATTTACGATTTGCGAATCAATTTTCCCCATAAGAAATAATGTAAATACAATTAATCCGTTCCTGACACCCAGAAGTATTAAAACAAAAAATTTTTTTACATAAAATATAGATGTAGTACATAAACAATACAATGGGAAATGATGAATGAAACATTAACAGCATAACACTTACCCTTTTTTGGAGATTCTTCTAGTGTATGGGAGACTGGAGGAGGAGAGAGAGTGGATTGTTTTTAGTTTGGAAGGGGAATCCCCTTTCATCAAACCTCAGGTACCATTTGCTTTTCGGGGTTGCTTCTTTTCTTGTTTCTTAATGCCACTAGGGCCACCTTGAGAGTCACTGGAGTCCTGTCTCGCAAAATAACTGTGGGAGAGAGCTCTGTTCTGGCGTCTCTTTAACACTTCCCTAAAATGGCCCAAGACTTTGTCACTGTACATGTTGCCAACCTGGCTTGCAACAACCTTGTTAGGGTGATGTTTCTCCACAAAGCTTTCCTTCTTACCCCACATAGTAAAAATCTCTTTAATTTCTGAAGAAGGCACCTTCTTCCATCTCTCTTCCTCCTCCTCTGCAGCAAGATTCTGAGCTGCGATGTGTTGCTATTCCTGCTGAAGCTCTTGCAGCTCCTCAGTGGTGAGCTCTTCGTTGTGGTCTTCCACCAATTCTTCCACATCCTCCAAACTCACATCCAACCCCATGGAACTCCCCAGTGCCACAATTGATTTTACAACAGACATAGGCTCATTAGGGTCAGTCCCAAACCCTTCAAAATCCCTCTTGTCGACACAATCTGGCCACAATTTTCTCCAGGCAGAGTTCAAAGTCCTGGTAGTCACTCCCTCCCAAGCCATACCTATAAGGGTTATGCAGTGGAGGATGCTGAAGTGTTCTCTCCAAAATTCCCTTAGGGTCAAGTGAGTGTCTGTGGTCACAGTCAAGCACCTGTGAAACATTGCTTTTGTGTAGAGTTTTTTAAAGCTTGCAATAACCTGCTGGTCCATGGGCTGGAGGAGAGGAGTGGTATTCAGGGGCAAGAACTTTACTGTGATGAACCCAAACTCCTCGAAAATTAGGTCATCCAAGTTTGGAGGATGAGCAGGTGCATTGTCCATTACTAGCAGGCACTTGAGATCCAATTTCTTTTCCAGGATATACTCCTTCACACTAGGGCCAAACACTTCATTGAACCACTCGACGAAAATTTCCCTCGTGACCCATGCCTTACTATTAGATTTCCAAAACACACACAATTTACTCTTCATAACATTGTTTTTTCCTGAACACTCTGGGATTTTCAGAATGGTACACTAGTAACGGCTTCACTTTGAAATCCCCACTAGCATTAGCACAGAACATTAGCGTCAGCCTGTCTTTCATAGGCTTGTGTCCTGGCATTGCCTTTTCCTCTTGTGTAATGAAGGTCCTCTTTGGCATTTTCTTCCAAAAGAGGCCTGTTTCGTCACAGCTGAACACTTGTTCAGGTTTCAGTCCTTCAGCCTCTATGTACTCCTGGAATTCATGCACATATTTTTCAGCCGTCTTGTGGTCCGAACTGGCAGCCTCACCATGCCTTACCACACTGTATGCCAGTACGGTTCTTAAATCTCTCAAACCAGCCTTTGCTGGCCTTAAATTCACTCACTTCACCACTATTTGCAGGCAATTTCTTTACCAAATCTTCATGCAACTGCCTAGCCTTTTCACAAATAATCGAAGTCATAAGAGTATCTCCTGCTAATTGTTTCTCATTTATCCACACCAATAATAACTTCTCAACCTCTTCCAGTACTGGTGATCTCATTTTTGTCAGCATAGTTACTCCCTTTGCAACAACAGCGTCCTTTATTTCCTTTTTCTTGGCAACTATGGAACATAAGGTTGTGTAGGGTTTCTTATACATCCTGGACAGTTCGGCCACACTTGTACCACTTTCATATTGTTCAATGATGGTTTTCTTAAATTCAATCGTATTTCTCACCTTCTTTACCACAGGCTTGGCACTAGGAGCTTTCTTTGGAGCCATGGTAGCTTATTTAGTACTTGCAAGCACTAAAATAAATGGAATATTATGAAATATTTCGCTGGAGCACGTGAGGGGACCTTCGCTTACTGGTAAACAATGCCAGACTGGCTGCCGCCACGGCTCACGCCGTGGGTACGCATCCCAGACAAATTATGACTCGCGAGTCAACTTATGAAAAGCGAGTCCATGTTTATACGAAAATAACCCTATGATTGGCGAAATTTATGATTGCCGGGAACTACGAAAAGCGAGGGACCACTGTATATAAAAATGGTTTTTCATTTATATACATCCTTGAAAAACTGTCACCATCACTACTTTTGCACTCTGGGGTCATTATTGACCCTGCGAGGGTCTGTGCCATAGTTCTACATGATGAGCTCAACTCAGATAAGCTGTCAGTGGTAAATTGGGCCTAGATATGAAAGAATTCATCTATGTGGTAAGTGTGCACCATATAAAACAAATCCTGCAGCACAGTGCATGAGAAAAAAACTGCGACTGTGTATTTGGTTTAAAACAACACCTTTGTGGTGTATTTTCATATGGTTTTTATGGTTGTATTCTATGTTTCTTGGTCTCAGTTGATAGAATGGAAGATATATTACAGAAACAGACAAGATTCTGATGATATTAGGGCTCAAAATAGTAGAAATGTTCAATTTTTGCTGACGTCACACATTCAATACACATCAACTAGTGGGTCTAATATATGTTCACAAAGTCACTGACATTACTTATACAATTATTACAATATTGCATAATAGTAAATCTTCTATTTTTTGTGTGAATAAAAATTGTGTGAATAGAAAAATTAAAATGGAATTCATGTGTAAAGTCTGGAAATGTAACTAATAAACAGAGGAAACGTTATTTTAGTGCCAAGAATACCTGCATTGTTTATTCTGGACCCTATTTTGAAATTGGCACATATTGAAATTTGTGTGAAATTGACCAAATTACCAATTTCTGATCACTTTATTGGGTAGTTGAAATAGTTGACTGGGAAGTTTCTTGTGTTCAGTCGATAAAATGGAAGACATAATAGCAAAAGAACTAAGAATTTGATCTAATAGAACAACACAATTGGGTGAAAATAGGACTCAAATTGGGCAAAATCACCGACGTGTAAATATAGCTTAACACGGCAAAATTCGTGAACGTAATTTCATCATTTTTTTTTCAAATTTCGCACTTTTTGTTTTATTACCTTCAGAAAAAAATCTCTACCATTTCATAAGAATTTTTTTTTTTTAATTCTTGGACTTTGTGGACAAGTTTCTGGTCAGCGGTCTGGACCCTCAAGGAGTTACACTAGACCACCATCATTACTTTTGTATTCTGGGGTCATTATCATCATGATTAATCCCCAGATATGGGGGTACCACCCTGATGTTTCAGGTGATAAACAAGGCCACTTACCCTGGGGTTGGAAACAAGGGTCCCAGCCGAACTTATTGTCACCCCGGGGTGGGACGATGGTGCCCAGGGTGCGACCATGGAAGAGGAGGACCTCGTCCTTAGGGTCACCAGAGGTGAAGGCAAAGCTACACACAGCCTCTGCTGACTGAAAAAAATACTATTGTTGTTTTAAACCTGTATATGACATGTTCATTACATGTATATGGCATGTTCATTACATGTATATGACCTGTTCATTACATGTATATGACATGTTCATTACATGTATATGACATGTTCATTACATGTATATGACATGTTCATTACATGTATATGACATGTTTATTGTGTTTATTACATGTATAAGACATGTTTATTGTCAGGTTTGTGTGAGGGAACGGCAATATCCTCTCAAGAGTACAAAATATTTAACAACTTTCCATCTTACACTAATATGATGAGAAGGATTATTATTATCACTACTACTAATATTATTACTATCAATCCTGGTATTAATCTGTTGTTAAAGAGCATAAACACTCCTGATAATAATTGTCATTATTACACCGCTAGTCAGGCTAAGACTGTACTCAGTGCCAGGCTAAGACTGTACTCAATGCCAGGCTAAGACTGTACTCAATGCCAGGCTAAGACTGTACTCAGTACCAGACTAAGACTGTACTCAGTACCAGACTAAGACTGTACTCAGTACCAGGCTAAGACTGTACTCAGTGCCAGGCTAAGACTGTACTCAGTGCCAGGCTAAGACTGTACTCAGAGCCACCAAGAATATAACAGTATTCAATTATAATGTCAAATAACTCTGAGGTCCTCTTCAGCAGATCACAAAGTAAACACTATGATGACCTCCTTGTGCTGCTTAATTCTCTAAATATTAATATCTCTCTCATCAGTGAAACCTGACTCAAACCCGACACATCTGTGTCATACCTGGTTACACAGGTATCTGCAGGCCTGGTCAATTAGCAAGTTGCACTGCTATCTACTCAGAGTGTATACATGGTTCTTGAATCATGGATGAAAATGGTGAGTATATATTTGTAAAATTTTGATTTAGAAGACATGAAGAATGTGTAAGAGTTGGAGGAGACTAGACGTCACCTCACACGGTACTGATGACTCTGATCAAGGGTTCTATCCCTACCCCTGGTACACTTTGTTTACTTACTGACTTACACTGATAACTGACTCACACTGATAACTGACTCACACTGATAACTGACTCACACTGATAACTTGTCATGTGGGGGTTCGTATGCTGGAATTGGGTAAAATCACAAACTTTGAACGAATGATAACATTATTATGGGTACTAGGGAGGAACCGCCAAGCCTGACCTGCCGTCTATTTAACGTCTCTACTTGAACTGAGCTGCCGAGTGCCTGGAGGGCGAGCGGCGTTCAAATCATACTAGGTCTGAATTGGTATTTACAAATGATACTTGAGGATTTCTCAATACTTGTCGTGTAAGTAGGGAATAATGACATTCAGGCTGATCGTCTGACTGAGTATTAGAGGTAGAGAGTACAGAGTCAGGAGGACTGTCAGCGGCTGTCACATTAGTCTGGGTTGGAACATCATTATCATCACATACTAACTTCATATGATCTAAATGCAATTCTTTATACTGACCAGTACTAATTTCTCTAACAGTTATCCGGTTCCATCAGTAATCGAGCACTAATTTCAGCTAGCATAATTTCAAATTTCATCATTATACTGACTCAGAAATCATGCAGATGGTTATAAATCCACAGCAGCAAGCCAGGGAGGAGACAGCAGTGATGACAATGAGGAAGATAAAGCAGAAAGAGACTCTATTGATAGGTTAATTAAGTGTATTCTAACCTAACCACTCTGTAATCTGGCAAACTCACTAATACAGCACACTGCAGGTCTCAATGATGCCAGATTAGTGATGGCCGACCTGTACTTATTTCCATTTATATGTTCAACTACGTACTCAATAAGGACCAACAAACTTTTGATCAAGTTAGGCATTGCAGACGTTTTGTTAAAGTTAGTCAGCATAACTCTTGAACCTACTGTAATTTTGGTCAGCTTTGCTCGAGTGTTTGTGACTCTTGTAAATTCTGTTGTTGATTTATGAAGTGTTTCACGGATTCTTCTAAAGACGCTTTGAGCTAAGCTGGTACAAGTTGCTATGAAATCATCAGAGTTGTAATTGGGTTTCAGAGTGGAATATAACAACTCATAAGGTAAATGCTTGTCTACACCATACAATGCAGCATGTGGAGTGTCACCTATAGAAACATTGTAAGCAGAATTTATAGCACACTGCACATCAGGTATAACTTCATCCCAAGTTTCACTGTTGAATTGATAGTGGCTCTCAAGACATCAAGTACTTTCTTCTTGGTACGTTCCGCTAACCCATTGCTGGCAGGATGATGAGGAACAATGGTGGATTTAGAGATCTTGTACAAGGTACACAAATTTTCAAGAATCTCATTACAGAATTCACCTCCATTATCTGTTACTAGGGACTTAGGGGTGGTATACCTGCAGATAATGCATTCTTTAAACACTTTAGCTACTGTCTCTGCAGTCTTATCTGCAATAGGAACTAACTCACAATATCTGGTGAAATGGTCTACCATAACACACATGTTTGTTGCCTTGGAGGGAACATTGGAAATTAGTCAACAGATCTAGCACAACTCTTTCCCATGGTTCGAGGAGTTGATCTGGGTTTTGCAATTAACCAGTCAGTTAAGTCAGTCTAGGGGAGAGTGCCAGTTATCATCCAGCCTGCCTCATCAGTCATCCAGCCTGTTCCTTCATGATGTGTGCATTGTTACAGGTATTCCAGTCAGCCATTATCAAGGGTTAAGTCAGCAAGACAACCCAGCTGAGGGAGAGAAGTAAGTCACGCAAGTTCCTCTTTGAAGTATTGTCTCTGACATCACCTTGTGCTGCCTATTCAATGCTGGACAGACTGGCATTCACCGTCCCTGTGCCATACTGTGGCTTAGTAAACCCAGAAAGATTTTCAAGTGTGGTAGAGTGCCAGTCCTTCCTCTTTCAGTGTATCTTAAACATTTTTTATTAATTCTGCAGAATTAGTTATATCTCCTTTAATTTCTATTTTAGCATTTGTGTCATTTTTATTATTCATTATTCTTCTCTTATTTGTTTTTGTGCAACTTCTTTGCCATTATGTCTCGCAAACCTTCGAGTGATACTTTAGTGAATGTCAACACTCAGACCTGCCAGGCTACTGCTGCCCCCATGAACATCCTTAACCCTTTGACTGTCGCGGTCGTATATGTACGTCATGGGAGATACCGTGTTTGACGTATCTATACGCATAAATTCTAGCGGCTTCAAATCGAGCGGGAGAGGGCTGGTAGGCCTACACGAGAGAGAATGGGTCTCAGTGGTCGGTGTGCACCCTGTGAAAAAAATCTGGGACTCAGCGGTGCATTGTGGGAACGCCATCTTGGTAGTCCATTTTCACCATGCCTCGCGGTAAGAAGTTCCTCACTCCTCGGCGGATTGGAGGTCTTTTGTTCCCAAGTGATAGCTCAAACAGTGATGATAGTGTCAGTGAAAGTGAATTCCCTGGTTTTGAAGCGGGTGTGACCGAGAAAATTACCCAGGATAACATAATTAGTGATGAAAACCCAGATGACCCACAACCATTCCACCTCTGGTGCTAGGGCCGGCTCGTTCATATTCACCTGTACCAGGACGAAAGAGGAAACTATTTGCCCGTGTACAAGACTCAGATGTGAGCAGTGCAAGTGATAGTGATAGTGATTTCAAGGTTATTAAAAGCACTTCTAGTTGTGACAGTGAGGGTGAATATTCCCCAGTGAAACGGCAGTATGTACGACGTCGCATGCGGTCTGGTAGTGTGCCATATGCTCTTCCAAGAGGAAGGAGTACATCTCGGAGCACATCCCGTGGCCCTACACCACATCCTGATAGTGAAGATGACGATATTGTTACGATGGGTATAAATGATGTGAGTGAGGCAGCAGGCGGTGGTGGTGATAGTGACGGTGCCATGAGTCATGTGACACCAGCAGCGGGCCACGCTAGTGCCCGTGCTGCTGACTCTGCACAACTACAACCTGCTTCGGCCGACCCCACACTCTCACAACCACAACCTGCACAACCACAATGACATTACAATATCCAGAACGCACCAGCTGACCGCATCTGGGATTGGCATCAAGATGACGAGTTTGTACCCAATCCCCATGACTTTGATGAAGGACAAAGTGGAATACGGCCATCATGTACACTTGGGAACAATCCCACTGAACTGGAATGCTTTCAGTTGTTCTTCGATGAACCCCTGATGGACATTATTGTCAGGGAAAGCAATACATACTATGAGTACACCATGGCAAACACTATTCTGTCACCAAGATCATGCCTACACCAGTGGAAGGACACAACTGTGGCAGAGATGTATCTGTTCTTTGCCACAATAATGCTTATGCCACATGTGTATAAGCATAGTGTCAACACATACTGGGCGACAGACCGCCTGATTTCAACCCCTGCTTTCAGTGACATTATACCAGTGAATAGATTTGTGTTACTGTTACGTATGTTACACTTTTCAGACAAAACCAGGCCTGACAGAAGCGACAGGTTATATAAGATCAGACGTGTGTTTATGTACCTGAAACAAAAGTGCTGTATGTATTTTTATCCCTTCAGGAAGCTTGTTATTGACGAGTCTTTGATTTTGTTCAAAGGAAGACTCTCATTCAAGCAGTATATACCAAGCAAGAGGAAACGCTTTGGTATAAAGTTATTTGTTCTGTGTGATTGCAAAACTGGTCTGGTTTTGGATATAATTGTGTACACTGGCGGTAAAACAATGGAAGATACCAGGAAGTTACTGGGTATCTCTGGTGATGTGGTTAGAACAATGATGGAGCCATATCTTGGTAAGGGGCATATTTTATATACTGACAACTGGTACACAAGCCCTATACTCAGTGATTTCTTGCGAGTGAACATGACAGATGTGTGTGGCACAGTGCGTAGAAGTCGTAAACATATGCCTAGGTTCGAAGCTGGCAGTCGTAGAGGTGAAGTGCAGGTGTTTGCTGCCAATGACATCATGGCATTTCGGTGGCATGACAAACCTGATGTCACACT